AGACGGCGTGGGGGGTTTGCTCAGGCTGATTGATGGAGGGGGGAAAGGCCACTGTCAGAAATGAGGAGGGGGTTTAGTGGGACACACTGGCTCGGCCCAGTGCCTGGGCAGGTGTGGACTGGGGTCCTGGGTTCCCACCATGGGCCTTCCTGGTGCGTCCCTGAGCCCTCCAAGCTGCGGCTCCGGGGGATGCTCCACCCCAACCTGGGGGGTTCTTCCATCCTCACCTTCTGCCTTTGATTCCCTTTCAAAACCAAGTGATTTCCGACCCCCTTGTCCCGTGTTAATCCTGGTCCTGCTTCCACTCCCTCTTTGCTACATAAGATTTACAGAGTTGCCTTTAAAAGAAAGTAGGTGTGGGCTGGGAGCAGGTCCCCCCAAAATCCTTACAAAGCAAAGACTGAACCCCAGTGGTTTGCCTGCAGTGCTGTTCCCCCAGGGCTCAGGGGGTGGGAGGCACCTCACTGTCCTTCCACCAGTCCCACCAGCTCTCCTGCAGCCCCTTGTCCTCCAAGGATGCTCCTGGTGAGCTCCCTGTGGGCTCTGCGGGGGGAAGGGATGGTGGAACATCAGCATGGCCTGAGTCAGGTGCTGGGGCAGTGCTGGGGACCTGCTCCTCCCTGCAGAGGTGCTGCTTGACCTCTGGGGAAGGAGGTTGTGGCTCTGGCTGCTCTGGGAGAGGCTCTGGGCAAGGTGCTGCTGTGAGGATGGATGGCTCAGTAGTACAGCGTGTTGTCACCCACCCCTTTCCTCCTTTCACACATTCGTGCTGCTCTGCCCAGGCCCCTCTCACCCCTCTGCCCTCCCCCAAACTCTTCACTTTATTTCTACCCCTCCCCTCCCCTCTGATCCAGAACCTTCCTGCCAAAATTAAACAGAAGAATTTTCAGCTCCCTCCTTAAAGGACAGAAAGGGCCCTGGGGGAGCCTGGGCGGCCCAGCCCACCCTGCAGCCCCTCGGGGCTGGCTCTGGGTGCTGGGGTAGCCCCAAAACTGGGGTGCAGCCCCCCCCAATCCCCCTTCCCCCAAGCTGGGGTTCACCTCGAGCATCTCCCCTCCCAGAGCCCCTCTGGCTCAGCCCAGATCTCCAACCCCGCGAGTCCCGGCCGTTGGCTTGTTTGCTAAGGATAAATGGCCTGGGCAGCCTCCTGGGCCGCCAGTTTGCTTGGATTTCTCTCTCTTTTTTTCTTTTTTTTTTTTTTTTTTTTTTTTTTTTTTTTGTTTTGTTTGTTTTGTTTCGTTTCGTTTGTTTGCTTGTCTATTTTTTCCCTTTTTTTTTTGTTTTGTTTTGTTTTTTTGTTGTTGTTGCTGTCGTCGTTCCAGGGTTCCATTCTCACATTCCCACATCGAGGGGGGGGGGTGGCGGCGGCTCCCGTGGAACCCCCACCCCCCTGCGGGCCCCGTCCGGCTGTCGGTGTTCCCCGGGCACCGGGCTATGCCAACGAGTAGATAGCGTTGACTGGGGACGTGGCCTCGGAGCTCTCGTTGCCTTCGGTCTCCTCCTTGTCCTTCTTCACCGTGTACTGGCCGATGAAGGAGCCGTCCTCGTTGAACTGCCCCTCTCCCCCCTCTCCGTAGTCCACCAGGCTGTCGTCGCTCTCCTGCTGCTTTATCGTCCCGTCCAGCGACGTCTGGCTGTTGGGAAGAGGTTTGTTGTCTTCATCGCTGGGTGGCAGAGGACAGACAGACACAGTGAGGGTTGAGCAGAGGGGGCTTGGAACCTCCACCCGAGGTCTGGGAGCTGGGGAGCGAATCCAGCCCGACCGAGGGGTTGCTCGGGCTGAGGGGAGCAGATCGTGGGGGAAGGGGAGGGGGGGGTCTGATGTGCAGGTGAAAAGGGGGGCCCAACCTTCACCCTCTGCCTCCCTAAAAACCAGTTTTTTAACCTCTATCAGGCGCAGTTCTCGGCTCAGCCCGCCTGGGTGTGTGTCAGAAATGCCCTTCCCCTGCCCTTGCTCTGTCACAGCTTTTATTCTTCCTTTCTCTCGGCCGGTTGGGTGGTTTGTTGCCAGATTCCCTCACAAAAAAACACCCCCTTTAGAGAGTTACATGCAATGGGAGGCACTCCAAGCACTGCAAGGGGGCACGTATAGGATGCCAAGTTCTGTGCAGCTTCCAAAACTCGTGGGAATTTTACCTTTCTGAGCTTATTTCTGAGCTCCTTCGCTCAGTTCTTTATGCTTTTCTCCTTTTTTTTTTTCCCCCCCACT